TAGTTTTGCTTCCTGATGAAGTAAAGTTGTAGGAAGAGATGTGGGCACACAGACACCTCCACGGATTGCAGTGTGGCCCATCTCAGTATTCTAAATGCCAAGTTGGCCAAGGAGGTATGCCTTCAATATTATCTCCCAGAAAACAGGCAGCTGCTATGTTTCAGTGCATGGTGGTTTCCCAAACTGCAATTTATGAAACATGAGAGTTAAGAGAAAGACATGAAAGAGAAAAACTACCAAAAATAGGAGTGATGCTTTTACAGTCAAATAAATTCAAAAAAGATTGCATATTACTCCCCATATCACCAGATGACTGGCTCTGACATTTCTGCATTATTTTCTCAGCATTTTCTAAATGGATTGGGCCATGAAACACCTTTTCTCATCACATCCCTCCAGAGCCTGGCGTTACAAAGGGCATGATGTTCTAACTTCATGTACTGCAGATGTGTCCTACGCACGGGGGCTGGTTTCCCAACTGTCTAACCATAGTCTGCAGTAAGACAATGCAGACATTGGGCAGATTGGGGAGCTTTTATAGCAATCTGACATAACTGCAAAATTCAGGCAGCATTTTGCTTTCTTGTTTTTTTTTTATTAATCCTTTTCATTATATTTTGTAATAATGTTACTGCACAACTAATTGGAAAGAAAAAACTGGCTCTTCACATATGGGTAAAAAGCACATTTTTGAAGAGCAGTGGCTTAAAGACATTGTTCCCATAGACATTGTTTGTTTGTTTGTTTGTTTGTTTTTTGAGACGGAGTTTCGCTGTTGTTACCCAGACTGCAGTGCAATGGCATGATCTCGGCTCACCACAACTTGCGCCTCCTGTTTAAGCAATTCTCTTGCCTCAGCTTCCCAAGTAGGTGAGACTACAGGTGTGCACCACCATGCCCAGCTAATTTTTGCATTTTTAGTAGAGACGGGGTTTCACCTTGTTGACCAGGATGGTCTCGATCTCTTGACCTCGTGATCCACCTGCCTCTGCCTCCCAAAGTGCTGGGATTATAGGTGTGAGCCACCGCACCCGGCCCCATTGTTTGTATTTTTTTGAGACAGAGTTCTGTTCTGTCACCCAGGCTGGAGTGCAGTGGCACGATCTTGGCTCATTGAAACCTCTGCCTCCCAAGTTCTAGTGATTCTCCTGCCTCAGATTCCCAAGTAGCTAGGATTACAGACATGTGCCTCTATTCCCAGCTAATTTTTGTATTTTTGGCAGAGACAGGGTTTTACCTTGTTGGCCAGGCTGATCTTGAACTCCCAACCTCAGGTGATCCACCTGCCTCAGCCTCCCAAAGTGCTGGGATTACAGGCGTGAGCCACTGCACCTGGCCCTGTTCTCATAGACACATGAGTCTCATGGATTAGAAATATTAAGAATGTTAACAAATACACAATGGCTACCTTTTGTTTTGCCATTTAATTAAGTGTCTTCCATCATCTGTTTCTATCACTTCATTTTTAAATATGTTATTTTAACATACATACAAAGGAGGAAGGACTTAATTTCGAATGAAGGACAGTCCTTTAAACTTCAGAAACATGGCTTTTTGAAAAACTTGCTGCATCGTGCTTCTTTCTCATTTTGCCAAGGTTTGGTGAGGATTTTATCACATAGTGACATTCTTCATAGACTAGGCTGCGAAAATGACTGACTGAGAAAAATGAGTTCTCAGCTTCTGAGTTCGAAAGGAAGGGAGAGGGGAAGTGAGGAGGGGCTTTCCCACTGACTTGCTCTGAAGGCACTGAGAATCAAAGCAGAGCAAATCTCTCTCGTGGTTCACAAACAGGAGGTCATGCTCATGCCCGTCTATGTATTAAGATGACGCATGAACTGAGAAGTATTTTGAAGAATTTTGTAACTTGTTTCACATCAAGCAAGTGTGTGTGTGTGAGTAGGGAAGGCTAGTCAAATGCTACCATTTACAGTGTGTTCATGAGACTTGAGCACTTTCCATGTTCCATCTAGCTATTACTGCAGGAAGCAGAGGCTGTAGGGAGGCAGGTTGCGGTGACAAAGCCCTAGGCTCCAAATCAGGTGGCCACGTTCTGTTGCTGGTCCTGCCTCTCACTGGCACCTTACGGGCTTGTCATTTTCTTTCTCAGAGCCTCAGTTCCTATATCTATAAAGTGAGGAGGACCAGAGTTCTTAGGGTTCTAGAGCTCTAAATCTGTAAGAGGGAATAATTACTGCAAATCTGCTGGCAGGTACTCAGAGCTATTAATTCTTGACCACTCGCTGTATGACCCAGGCACAACCATTTCCATGATCATTCCAGACAGACATTGTCATTCTAAATGCCCTTTCACTGTCTCTCTTTATTCTGATGGTGAAAATGGAAGTTCCAATGGAGAGAAAAAAAAAAAGAGGAAGTGTTACCATGGCAACCTTTGTGAATATCTTCCTGGAAAATCCACTTCACCGCTCTAAGACTTGTAGCTGTGATTTCTTGGTTCATGGATCCAGGGGAAACTACAGGGTTCATGAGGAGAGAGACAGAAGTGGTTGGAAGCAGTCGGGGAATTGTGGAGGGATCCTAAACAACTGTGTTCTTCCTGCAGGACATGGGAATTTGTGTATATGTTCCCTTTGCTGTTGGCCCTTCTGTGCTCCCTTTTTCTTTTCTTTTTTCTTTTTGAGATGGAGTCTCCCTCTATTGTCCAGGATGGAGTGCAGTGGTGCCATCTTGGCTCACTGCAACCTCTGCCTCCTGGGTTCAAGTGATTCTCCTGCCTTAGCCTCCTGAGTAGCTGGGACAACAGGTGCACACCACCATGATCGCCTAGTTTTTTTTGTTTTTTTTTTTTTTGTATTCTTAGTAGAGATGGAGTTTCACCATATTGGCCATACTTCTCTCAAACTCCTGACTTTGATCTGGTTACCTCGGCCTCCCAAAGTGCTTTGATTACAGGTGTGAGCCACCATGCCCAGCCTTTCTTTAGAACACCACCAAATCAACAAAACAAACCATTGGAGGAACCACCTATTCCTTGATTCACCTCTGTGAATCTTTTACTTAATGAGACATGGAAATGGAATGCATTAAAGACTTAATTTTTAGAATGTAACCTATTAGCCTTTAAATATGATTTAATATCTATAACCAGGATTCAAACACACAGACTACTTAGCTAAATTTCTGAAACACATTACAGAAAAATTATTTCCCTATGACAGCTGTTCTCAAAGGTTAGCATAACTCAGAATCAGCTGGGCTTGAGAACGCAGCTGGCTACTCCTCTCTGCAGAGTTTCTAATTCTGCAGGTGTGGGAGGAAGCAGATAATTTCATGTCCAACTTCCCAGTGCTGACTGCTCTAGAAACCATACTTTGAGAACTGCAGAGGTACAAAAAACTATACCTCTTGATGATGATCTTAGAATGCACATTTTGGGCCAGGCATGGTGGGTCACACCTATAATCCCAGCATTTTGGGAGACATAGTGGGAGGATCATTTGAGCTTAGAAGTTGGAAATTAGTCTGGGCAACAGAGCAAGATCCTATCTCTATTTTTATTGTATTGTATTGTACTGCGTTGTATTGTATTGTATTGTATTTTTTGAGATGGAGTCTCACTCTGTTGCCCAGGCTGGAGTGCAGTGGTGCAATCTCAGCTAACTGAGGCAGAGGTTACTCTGCCTCCTGGGTTCAAGCAATTCTCCTGCCTCAGCCTCCTGAGTAGCTGGGATTATAGGCATGCACTATTATGCCCAGCTAATTGTATTTTTCCTAGAGACAGGGTTTCACCATGTTGGCCAGGCTGGTATTGAACTCCTGACCTTAGGGTGATCTGCCCACCTCAAAGTCTCAAAATGCTAAGATTACAGGCATGAGCCAGAGTGCCCCACCCCATCTCTATTTTTAAAAATGCATATTTTAAGACTGGGTACAATGGCTCACGGGTGTAATCCCAGCCCTTCAGGAGGCCAAGGTGGGTTGATCACCTGAGGTAAGGAGTTCGAGACCAGCCTGGTCAACATGGTGAAACCCTACTTCCACTAAATACAAAAAATTAGCTGGTATGGTGGCTCATGCGTATAATTCCAGCTACTTGGGAGGCTGAGGCAGGAGACTCACTTAAACCTGGGAGGTGGAGGTTGCAGTGAGCTGAGATTTCACCATTGCACTTCAGCCTGGGCAACAAGAGCGAAACTCTGTCTAAAAAAAAAAAATTAGATTTTTTACTTCTTTTGTAGAAGAAGAGAAGAGATCTCAACATTCTTCCACTCCATCTTCCCAAAACAGAAGTAGAGTTGAGGAGATTGGTCCTATAGGGGTTTCTTTTAACTACAATTGACCCTTCAATAGTGTGGATTTTAACTGAGTGGATCCACTTATACCTAAAAATTTTTCAACCAAAGGTTGATGGAAAGTACAGTATTTGTGGGATGTGAAATCCACGTATAGGAAGGACTGACTTTTCCTATACTGAGTTTCTTAGGGAAGGACTTGAGTGTGTATGAATTTTGGCATATGTGGGGTTCCTGGAAACGATCCCCTTATTTACTGATGGATGACTATATAGTTTCACATAAATACTAAATCTGCCACTTCATTATCTCCTTCTTTCCTGGTTTTTCTCTTGCTGGCAACTGTGAAATAGCATCCACTCCTCCTCCCACGACTTTTTATAATGACAGTCCTCTCTTACTGATTTGTAATTGGCTGCTTTATATAAAAAGGTGGTTATATATGTATCTGAACACTTTTTCCCCACCTTGCCTTTTATCTCAAACTTTTCTTGTTTAAATTGTTTATATGTATTTTATGTTAGTGGGATCTTTCCCCATTACATTTCTTGGTGGTTATTATAAGAAAGCTATTGAATGTCTTATGTTTTAGTTCCTTCCTATCTTTTTAGGAAGTCATATAAGGATGGGATTTGAGACCAGCCTGGCCAGCATGGTGAAACCTGTCTCTACTAAAAATACAAAATATTAGCTGAGGGTGGTGGCCCATGCCTGTGAAGAAGAGCAGCAGTCTGTTGGTATGAGATATTTGAGGTGTTTTTGTTGAATTTTTTTAGGAAATAAAAGAGTTTTTCTGTGGGGTACAGGTGGGTTTTTTTTTTTTTTAAGCCAGGAGGTGTTGCTGGGGGTGGGTATCACAAAGTCCAATGTCACAAGGTTGGGTTATCAGTTAAAGCAGGAATGATTTAGACAGGAGCAATGGTGGAATGTTGCAAGGTTGGTTAATTGGGCTCTGCAGGAGCAGCCATTTTCCTTCTTTTTGTGATTTTTCTGTTACTTCAGATTCTCTGGCTCCAGGAGGCCATCCAGAGGGTATATGTGGGTCATAGAGGTCACCATGGCCTAACCATGGTACAGCCCATGGTACAGTCAGTTTAAAAACCTTACACCAACCTCAGGAGATCTGCCTGCCTTGGCCTTCCAAAGTACTGGGATTACAGGTTGAGCTACTGCATCCTGCCTGTTTTACTGTCACACTGGCTGGACTGCAATGGTGAAATCTCAGCTCACTATAACCTCTGCCTCCCAGGTTCAAGAAATTCTCTTGCCTCAGCCTCCTGAGTAGCTGTGATTAACGTGCACACCACCACAACCAGCTGCTTTTATGTATTTTTAGTAGAGATGCGGTTTTACTATGTTGGCCAAACTGGTCTCTAGCTCCTGACCTCGTAATCCACCTGCCTTGGCCTCTCAAAGTGCTGGGATTACAGATGTGAGGCACCACACCTGCCCACAGTGAAGTATTATTTAGGCATTAAAAATGTAATACTGATAAATATTACAACATGGATGTTCCTGGATATATTATGCTAAGTGAAAGAAGCCAGTTTTAAAAGGTCACATATTATGTAATCCTATTTATATGGAAATGCAGAATAGAGAAATCTCTAGAACAGAAATTAATCTAGTGCTTGTTTAGGGCTGGCGGTAGGGATGGGAATGGGGAAATAGGAGGGGAGATAAGAATTGAATGATAGCTAAAGGGCATAAATGTATGCCAGACACCACTGAATTGTGCACTCCAAATTTTATTCACCCTTTCCATTTTCACCTTTACCTCATCTTGTCAAAGGATAGTCAGTAGTCAACTAGCATACCTTATTTTTGCATATTTTGAGACAAAGTTTTTTTTTTGTCACCCAGGCTGGAGTGCAGTGGCACAATCTTGGCTCACTGCAACCTTTGCCTCCTAGGTTCAAGTGACTCTCCTGCCTCAGCCTCCCAAGTAGCTGGGATTACAGGTGCCTGACACCACACCCAGCTACTTTTTGAATATTTAGTAGAGATGAGTTTTAGCCGTGTTGGCCAGGCTGGTCTTGAACGTTTTACTTCAGGTGATCCACCTGCCTTGGCCTCCCACAGTGCTGGGATTACAGGCATGAGCCACCACGCCCAGCCTAGTATATAAACCTTGAGGATCCTTTTTGGCAGCAAAGTGATTCTCCTCTTTTCTTATGGCGACATAATACAGAATTAAAAACTTTAATTTTTATGGCAACTGAGGAGTCTTTAGTATTTAGTAATTAGTTACTAATAGTTACAAATAGTTGCTAATACTAATAGTTATTAATATAGTTACTAATACTAATAGTTACTAAATACTAAATTATTATTTGGTAATTACTAATAGTTACTAATTATTTACTACTTACTAAATAGTAAAGTATAATTTTGTGTTCAAAAATTATAATAATGCATTACTAAGGTTCATATTCAGTATCCCATTGCTGAGTCTGGCTTCTTTTTGTTGTTGTTGTTGAGACAGAGTCTCACTTTGTCACCCAGTCTGGAGTGGAATGGCACGATCTTGGCTCACTGCAACCTCCACCTCCCAGATTCAAGTGATTCTCCTGCCTCAACCTCCTAAGTAGCTGGGATTACAGGCACCTGCCACCACACCTCGCTAATTTTTTGTATTTTTAGTGGAGATAGGGTTTTGCCATGTTAGCCAGGCTGGTCTCAAACTCCTGACCTCATGATCCATCTGCCTCAGCCTCCCAAAGTGTTGGGATTACAGGCGTGAGCCACAGCTGAGTCTGGTCTGAGTCTGGCTTCTTATTAAACTTGCCAATCTTGTGACATGCCTACTGGTTATGCACATGAATAGATCTCATTGGCACTCCACAAGGGCACTTTGTTATCGGCGTAGTGCTGAGTTGATTTTGTTTTCAATTGCTTTTCTTGCTTTTAAATTACTAGCTATTATTAGTCTTGCAATTTAATTTGTTATAGCCTACTTGGCTAACACTAGCCCTAGACTGCAGAGGTGTATGTTTGGCTCAGCAATATTTGGGTCTATTATGTTTCCATGGAAGGCATCTATCACTTAAGGTAAAGCACATATTTTCCTAAAACTTACTTGTACAGTGTCACTTCATTGGTGATATGTGATGCCTGAGTCTGCTATTTGAATAGCTTGCATCATGCTCTCAGAGTAAGAGTAACACTATTTCTTTATTAATGATTTATGCACAGGTTTATTGTGTATCCGGCCAGGACTAGGGTCAAGTGACGAGGCATTAACTCTCGGGGTTTGTGAGTGCTGATCCTGAATGTGAACACCTTCTTGAGTTTTAAACCCCAGGTGTTTCACATGTCTCATCCTAATCTTGACCTTGCGGTCTACAAAATCCTATACATAAGGCCTAAAAATATAAGTCATTCAAGGCTGGGCATGGTGGCTCATGCCGTAATCCCAGTACTTTGGGAGGCTGAGGTGGGTAGATCACCTGAGGCCAGGAGTTCGAGACCAGTCTAGCCAACATGGTGAAACCCCATCTCTACTAAAAATGCAAAAAAATTTAGCCAAGTGTGGTGGCATGCATGTGTAGTCCCAGCTATTCTAGAGGCTGAGGCAGGAGAATCACTTGAACCTGGGAGACAGGGGTTTCAGTGAGCTGAGATCACACCCCTGCACTCCAGCCTGGGCAATAGAGTAAGACCATCTCAAAAAAAAATGTCATTCATAAACTTTGTTAACATGAGTTTCAGAATCCATTTCTCAAATTCTTTGTTGGAGAATTTGGGAATAAGAAGTAAAGTTGGGCCGAGTCTAATCACATTGTTCTTTAAAAACAGAGAAACTTTCCTGCCATGGTCAGAGGGAGATGGGATGAGGGAAGAATGGTTAGAGAGATGCAATGTTGTTAGGTTTGAAGATAGAGAAAGGTGACCAGGAGCCAAAGAATGTGGGCAGCCTCGAGAAGCTAGAAAAGATGAGAAAGCATGCTCCCTAGACCCTCCAGTTAGGACTGCAGCCCTGCCAGTGCCTTGAATTTAGTCCAGTGAGACCATTAGACTTCTGACCCATAGAAGATCATAAATTTGTGTTAAAACAGCCACTGAAGCCAAGTGCTATGGCTCATGCCTGTAATCCCAGCACTTTGAGAGGCCAAGGCGGGCAGATCACCTGAGGTCAGGAGTTCAAGACCAGCCTGGCCAATGTGGTGAAACCCTGACTCTACTAAAAAAAAAAAAAAAAAAAAAAATACAAAAATTAGCTGAGTGTGGTGGTGTGCACCTGTAATCCCAGCTACTCTGGAGGCTGAGGCAGGAGAATGGCTTGAACCCCCATAGGTGGAAGTTGTAGTGAGCCTAGATCGCACCCTTGCACTCCAACCTGGGTGAGAAGAGTGAGACTGTCTCACAAGCAAGCAAGCAAACAAACAAAAAACCCACTGAGTTTTTGTCCATCTGTTAAAACAGCCAAATGAAACTAACACACCTCCTGAGATAAATGAACATTTTAAGTATTGTTTTTTGTCTTTTTATATACTGTAGCTTAGTGGGCTGAAGCATGGGGATCTGGCTTTACTATTTGAGATTTGAATAGCAGTTCCAGAATTCCCACTTGTTCTAATGAGCAGAACAAGCTGCTTTCAGGTGGAAAGACCTCAGGACCTCCCTTGGTGCTGCAGTGCCCGCCGTGGTGGGCTTGAAGTGCTTGAAGCAGGAAAGTGATCTTATCAAATTCTGATGCTACAGTTGTTGCCACCAAAGCTGTTAAGTGGATATCGTGGCTGAAACCCAAGGCCATGTGGAAAGTTATGTCTACTCTGGTGGGAGCCAGAGTTCACTGCTGCTTTCTGAAGCCCGTAACCTCTACTTGAATGAAAGAGGGTCTATCCCATAAATTTAAAAACCATTTTCAAGAGCTAAACAAAAATTTGAATCTTCTGATTGAAAGTGCCCCCCCTTTTTTGTTGTTTGTTTTTAACTTGATGTGGAATCTTACTATATTGCCCAGGCTGGTCTTGAACTTCTGGGCTCAAACTATCCTCCCCCCTCAGCCTCCTGAGCAGCTGGTATTATAGGCATGTAACACTGAGACTGGCTTTGAAAGTACATTAATTAATTTTTAATTAATTTCTAAAAGGAAATCCACACATTAGATATTTTCTGATAAAATTTCAAGTCCTCAAAGTCAAAGAAAAAATCCTAAAAGATTATAAAGAGCATAGATTATCTAGCAAAGGAAAAGTTCTAATTAGTAACAGAGTCTTCATTAGTGACATTTGATACTAAAATTAATTAGAGCAAAGTTCCAAGGGAGATTATCTTAAATTCAGAATTATGTACCAACAAATCTATCATTCAAGAGTGAAAACAAATATAAGAACTTTCAGAACATTTATTATTTTTTATTTTTTGAGATGGAGTTTCGCTCGTTACCCAGGCTGGAGTGCAATGGCGCGATCTCGGCTCACTGCAACATCTGCCTCCTGGGTTCAGGCAATTCTCCTGCCTCAGCCTCCTGAGTAGCTGGGATTACAGGCACGCACCACCATGCCCAGCTAATTTTTTGTATCTTTAGTAGAGATGGGGTTTCACCACTTTGACCAGGATGGTCTCGATCTCTTGACCTCATGATCCACCCACCTCGGCCTCCCAAAGTGCTGGGATTACAGGCTTGAGCCACCGCGCCCAGCCCCAGAACATTTATTAATAATTATCCAAGGATGTAGTCTAATAATATAAAATATTAATTTAAGAAAGAGATAAGTGGAATGTAAAAAAATAGCAAGCAGAGAAATAAGTTAAACCCATAGTTAAATATAAGTAGTTGTTGATAACATTACTTTGATACTGATGGTAATTGTGAGGAAATTGCCTAAAAAGTAGAAGCAAAGATTAGATAAATCTGGTGTATTCTCTCTTCCTCCCTAATTCTACTTTTGACAGAAAAAGTCTGTTTTCCAATTCTTAAGACTTTTTTCTTTTTCTTGCCTTATCAAGCTGGCTATAGTTTCCTTTAAAATGTTGAATATGAAAGTGGTAATGTCATCCTTATTACTTTCTTCAAATAAAATACTTCTGAGATTTCATCTTTAAGAATAACATGTTTGCGACCAGGCGCAGTGGCTCATGCCTCTAATCCCAGCACTTTGGGAGGCCGAGGTGGGTGGATCACGAGGTCAGGAGTTTGAGACCAGTCTGGCCAACATAGTGAAACCCCATCTCTACTAAAAATACAAAACATTAGCCAGATGTGGTGGTGTGCACCTGTAATCCCAGCTACTTGGGAGGCTGAGCAGAAGAATCATGTAAACCCAGGAGGCGGAGGTTGCAGTGAGCTGGGATTGCACCAGTGTACTCCAACTTAGTCAAGAGTGCAAGACTCCGTCTCAAAGAGAGAGAGAATAAAAAGAATAACATGTTTGCAGTAGATTTTTGGTAGGTAGTTATATATCCAGCTTACCCGTGAGTTTCTTCATTTAGCCTCTTCTTCTTCTTTGGAACCAAACCAGGTCCATAGACATTCTTTCTTCCAGTTCAGGCATTCTGATTGCATTGGTGTTAAAAGAAGCCGGGACTTGTGCTTTTGTTCCTCTAAGAGTGTCCTCTCACCTTGAAGATACCGACTTTGCTGGCTCATTCTGAGATTTGTGGAAATCAATATCCCGTGCCTGCTTCTTCCCACATGCAATACTGCTTGAACTTTGCTGCTCTGGAAACTCCTTCACATACTTCGTGGTTTACAGTTTCTATTTCTTCTAGTTTCAATGAAGTTAGAGTTGCTAGTTCTCATTCTCTTATATTATTCACTGAAGGGGATTACTGACTTTTTATTGACATCTTCCAGCAAAAATCACAGCAGAATTCTTTTTTTTTTTTGAGACGGAGTTTCGCTCTTGTTACCCAGGCTGGAGTGCAATGGCGAGATCTCGGCTCACCGCAACCTCCTCCTCCTGGGTTCAGGCAATTCTCCTGCCTCAGCCTCCTGAGTAGCTGGGATTACAGGCACGCGCCACCATGCCCAGCTAATTTTTTGCATTTTTAGTAGAGACGGGGTTTCACCATGTTGACCAGGATGGTCTCGATCTGTTGACCTCGTGATCCACCCGCCTCGGCCTCCCAAAATGCTGGGATTACAGGCTTGAGCCACCGCGCCCGGCCAAGCAGAATTCTTATCAGAAATTTACAAGCTAATCCTAGTTAATTGGCAAGTGCAAGGACCAAAAATAGCCGTGAACATTTTGAGCATTATAACTGAAATGATGCTATTGCTGTTAGAAAAAAAATAGATAAATGGAAAATAATAGCTTAGAAACTGACCCAAGGAGCTTAGACTGAGAAGCAAATAGCACTAAAAATCAGCACTGTTTAGACAGCACCACAGCTTCTTTTCCTCAGCAAGGCGACAGGGACTTTCCCTTAGCCGCCGCCCCCGGCCAAGCTCCGCCGCGCCCACAGCCCGCGGCCGCCATGCAATTTATGTTACTTTTTAGTCGTCAGGGAAAGTTTCAACTGCAAAAACGGTATGTCCCACTATCAGACAAAGAGAAGAAAAAGATCACCAGAGAACTTGTTCAGACCATTTTAGCACGGAAACCTAAAATGTGCAGCTTCCTTGAGTGGCGAGATCTGAAGATTGTTTACAAAAGATATGCTAGTCTGTAGTTTTGCTGTGCTATTGAGGATCAGGACAATGAACTAATTACCCTGGAAATAATTCATCGTTACGTGGAATTACTTGACAAGTATTTTGTCAGTGTCTGTGAACTAGATATCATCTTTAATTTTGAGAAGGCTTATTTTATTTTGGATGAGTTTCTTTTGGGAGGGGAAGTTCAGGAAACATCCAAGAAAAATGTCCTTAAAGCAATTGAGCAGGCGGATCTACTGCAGGAGCCACGTCATAAATATTTTAATGTCCCTGTGTACTAAATGACTACCCAACGAGTATGCAGAATTTCACAGAGGAAATAGAATGCTGATATACATATGAAAGAAAATATCCTCAGCATGGTGATTTATTATCTTGTATAATTATAGTAGAAAATTTCAGAACTAGTACTTTTATGATTGTATTTTTTTCCTGTTCACATTCCAAAATTTTCTGTTTTATTTTCATTCTATATGTGATCTTGATACAGCTCATTTCTCTCTGAAACTGATTTAATCTCATCTTGATAAAATATGACCTAGAAGTGTTTTGAGTAACATTAAATCTTAAACACATACATATTATCATTAATGAACCACCTATGATTAATCTTACAAGAGGAAAACAAGGCAATCATTAAAATATTTACCAAAGATAATGTAGCTGAAGTGCTAGGTCAAAATGAGCAGTACCATAATACATAGTATGGTTTGGTCTTCAAATATTGAGGTTAAAAAAAGAAACCATTTTGTGTGAATATCTTACAATCTGTATGAGGTAATGTGTTCTAATGTATCACATAAAAGTAAATGTGAAAATAATACAAGAAACTAAAATTAATTTGTGCTATTATATATTTAAGGTTAAAACATTCAGTCTTAGGAAATTTTGTAGTGCCACATTTATTGAATCACACTTGTGCTATATAATATCAAACAATCCCTTTAAGAACTTATTAGAGAGCTATGTCTGAAAAGTCTGTTTTGCAATATCTGTTGCTTAACAATAACTCTTTCAAAGCATTAATGCTGAGTTTATATAGTTCAAAAATTCTAATGTTCAGTTTTAATGCCTAAATACTTATATTTTACTAGTGATGGCGTTTTAATATATTAAGTCCTTGTTTAAATACTTAATGCTTTGTTAACTGTGGCATTATATTTATGAATTTTAAAACCTTTAATATTGATAACGATTGCATATTCTTTTAATAAAACATGCAGCATACTTTATTATAAGAGGAAAACAATTTATTGTTTGTATCTAGAGAGCATAAAGCCTGAGTTAAGTAACTTATTAAACAATAACTTCACAAGATGTTCAAACTGATTTACCACTGAAAGAAGATGTATGAAAATGTATTTTGATCTCACTTAGCATTAGGCATGTATACAGATAAGATTTTCCATTAACATTCTCACTGTAATGCACTACATTTGAAGCCCCTGGATGTGCTATCAAATGGGAAATTTAGCACCATACATTGGAAGCATTGAAACACATTGGTCTTTCATTTTCATTTTTCCCCTCCATTCCTCCTTCTGCCCCACAATATGTTATTCATCTGGTTTTAATGCTACATAAATATGCATTGTCTCATGCCTGTTTGTGTTGGATGCCTTGTGTTAAGCTGTAACAAAATGTTACTTCTTTTGCTATCTGTATACAGCTGCTTGCTTTAAATTACTAGATTCTGAAATAGCTTTCCTCTCATGTCTAAAATAAAAGTATTGCATGTAAAAAAAAATCAGCACTATTCAATAAATGGTGCTGGAAACGTTAAGTATTCAAATGGACAAACATACATTAGATGCATTGCTTATGCCCCCTCCCACAAATAATTTTCACATATATCAAAATGATAAATCAAAATCAGAAAAACCATTAATAGAAAATATGAAAGAATAATCTTATGGTTTCAGGGTATGGCAGGCTTTCTTAGAGAAGGCTTAAAATGCATAGACCATTATAGTACCAGGATGGCTGGAGTAAGATAAGGGAGGAGGTGCAAACTGGGTGAGGTAGCTCATGCCTGTATTCCCAGCACTTTGGGAGGCCAAGGCAGGAGGATTGCTTGAAGCCAGGAGTTCAAGATTGGCTTGAGCTACATAGGGAGAACCTGTCTTTACAAAAAATAAAAATAAAGTTAGCCAGGTGTAGTGGCACACACCTGTGGTTCCAGCTACTTAGGAGGCTGAGGCAGGAGAATTGCTTGAGCTCAGGAGGTTGAGGCTGCAGTGAGCTGTGATTGCACCATTGCACTCCAGCCTGAGTGACAGAGTGAGAGGCTGTCCACCCTGCTGCCCTGCAAAAAAAAGAAAAAAGAAAGAAAGAAAAGGAAAAGGTGAGAGGCCCAGGGTGAGGAGGGATGGAGAGAAGAGTTGGGCAGATCCTGTGGCAACCTACAGGCTTTAATGAGTTAAAGACTTTTTGGCAAAGTGGTAAAAGTACTTGAATCAGGAAAATAATCTTGTCAAATTTGTGATTTTTTTTTTTTTTTTGGACAGATTCTTGCTCTGTTGCTCAGGCTGGAGTGCAACGGTACAATTGTGGCTCACTGCAACCTCTGCCTCCTGGGTTCAAGCAATTCTCTGCCTCAGCCTCCTGAATAGCTGGGATTATAGGTACCCACCACTATGCCTGGCTAATTTTTGTATTTTTAGTAGAGACAGGATTTCACCATCTTGGCTAGGCTGGTCTTGAACTCCTGACCTCATGATCCACCTGCCTTGGCCTCCCAAAGTGCTTGGATTGCAGGCATGAGCCACTGCACCTGGCCAAATTTGTGTTTTTAAAGATTAGACTGGCTGCAAAGGGTTGCAAGGGGAGGGAGAGATACTAGGAGACAATTCAGGAAGCAGTTGCAAGAGAGCAAATGATGAGGATGGCATGGATTGGAATGATTGCAGAGTGAATGGTAAGAATACAATGTTACAAGTTAAAGACAGGATATAGACTCAGCAGAACCTGGTGCTTGTTTGGATTTGTGGACTGAGGGAGGAGTTGGGGTCATCTTGGGATGTGTTGATTATAAGGACCCAGTGAGACACCCAAGAGGAGAGGTTGAGAAACCAGTTGAACATGTGTGTTTGGAACTTTAAAAATGTGTTTGATGGCCGGGCGCGGTGGCTTACGCCTATAATCCCAGCACTTTGTGAGGCCGCGGCAGGTGGATCACGAGGTTAAGAGATCGAGACCATCCTGGTCAGCATGGTGAAACCCCGTCTCTACTAAAAATACAAAAAATTAGCTGGGCATGGTGGTGCATGCCTGTAGTCCCAGCTACTCAGGAGGCTGAGGCAGGAGAATTGCTTGAACCCAGAAGGCAGAGGTTGCGGTGAGCCGAGATCGTGTCATTGCACTCCAGTCTGGGTAACAACAGCGAAATTCCATCTCAAAAAAAAAAAAAGGTGTTTGAGCTCCAGGTTTAAATTTGGAATTACTGTGTGTAGATAGTAATTAAGGTTATAAGGGTGACGAGAACACTTAGAACAGGGCATACACTCTGACCCTTGGTCTGGCAATATGTTTCTGTATAGCCCACAAGCTAAGAATTGTCTTTATATGTTTGAATGGTTAGGGGAAAAAAGTCAAAAGAATAATAATGTTTTCTCACACGTGTTAATGAAATTCAAATTTTGTGTCTGTAAATCAAGTTTTTTTGTTTGTTTTTTGTTTTTTGCTTTTTTTTGAGACGGAGTTTCGCTGTTGTTACCCAGACTGGAGTGCAGTGGCACGACTTCGGCTCACTGCAACCTCCGCCTTCTGGGTTCAAGCAATTCTCCTGCCTCAGCCTCCCAAGTAGCTGGGACTACAGGTGTGCACCACCATGCCCAACTAATTTTTGTATTTTTTAGTAGAGACGGGTGACCAGTTGATTTATTGACACAGAGGTCATTAATGTACTTTGAAGGTTATTTGAAAGATGAGGTCAAGGGAGGAAGCGTGACAGAATGGAGATGAGCTAGGTTGAGGAGAAAGGCATATACTAGGAACAGGAGGAATTGGAGATGGCAGTTGTTGACAGCTCCTTCTAGAACTGTGGTTGGATGAGAGGAGATAAAGCATCTTAGGGAATATAAAGGCCTAAGGCAGACTAATTTGGCTTTTGTTTTTATTAAGGTGGAAGAGACTTGAATATATCCAAAGGCAAAAAGGAAGAAGCCCTTCGAACAGAATAGATTGAAGATTTAGAGAGAAAGGATCATCATTGTACAAGTTTCCTGAGATAGAGGCACAGGTTGCCATGAGCCGAGATCGCGCCATTGCACTCCAGCCTGGGTAACAAGAGCTAAACTCCATCTCAAAAAAAAAAAAAAAAAAATTTTCCTGGAACAGGAGTAGGTTTTGCTTATTTCAAGATGTGCATAAATAGATGCTTTCTAACCCGGCACTGTAGCTCATGCCTGTAATTCCAGCGCTTGGGAGGCTGATGCAGGGCAGGAGTTCGAGACCAGCCTGGCCAACATGGTGAAACCCAGTCTCTACTAAAAATACAAAATTAGCCTGGTGTGGTGGTGGTTGCCTGTAGTCACAGCTACTTGGGAGACTGAGACATGAGAATCACTTTAACCCAGAAGGTGGAAGTTGCAGTGAGCCAAGATTGTGCCATTGCACTCCACCCTGGGGATCAGAGCAAGACTCTTTGTCTCAAAAAAAAAAAAAAAAAAAAAAATTCGGCCGGGCGCGGTGGCTCAAGCCTGTAATCCCAGCACTTTGGGAGGCCGAGGCGGGTGGATCACGAGGTCAACAGAGCGAGACCATCCTGGTCAACATGGTGAAACTCCGTCTCTACTAAAAATTACAAAAAATTAGTTGGGCACGGTGGCGCGTGCCTGTAATCCCAGCTACTCAGGAGGCTGAGGCAGGAGAATTGCCTGAACCCAGGGGGCAGAGGTTGCGGTGAGCCGAGATCGCGCCATTGCACCCCAGCCAGGGTAACAAGAGCGAAACTCCGTCTCAAAAAAAAAAAAAAAAATTCTCTCAGTGTACAAATTTTTTTAAATCAATCTCCACATCACCCTTGTTTCTTCTGGTTCAACTTTTCAGATTCCTTTTTGTCATTTCCTTAATGAGGCCTAATTGCCTCACCTATCCCCACCAATCTAAATTAGACCTAAATTGTCTGAATAAATGAGGAGATGCAGAGCACAAATAAGGAAATATTTTGGCCAGGCTCAGTGGCTCCTGTCTGTAATCCTGACACTTCAGGTGGCCAAGGTGGGAGAATTGCTTGAGACCAGGAGTTTGAGACCAGCCTGGGCAACATAGTGAGACCCTGTCTCTACTAAAGAAAAAAAATATATATAAATGTATAATATTTGTACTATGAAATATATATAGTTATTTTACAGACACACACATATATATGTAAAATAAAATCACTATCCTGGGTGGTGGTGCACACCTGCAGTCTTAGCTACTCCAGAAGCCGAGGTGGGAGGATCTCCTGAGCTCAGGAGTCAGAGGTTGCAATGAACTGTGATGGCACTACTGCACTCTAGTCTGGGTGATAGAGCAAGACTCTCTCTCAAAAAGAAGAAAGAAAAAGAGAGAAAGAAAGAAAGGAAAGAAAGGAAGAAAGAAAGATTGATTTTGACCTTGGATGGAAGGATTCTTCAAGAAGAAAAAATGTATATAAATGCAGGCAGACAGCTGAGAGAGTTTCCATCTGTCTTCTCTGTTTTGTGTTGCTATAACAGAATACTACAGACTGCGTAATTTATAAATGATAGAAGTTTATTCGGCTCACAGTTCTGGAAGCTGGGAAGTCAGAAATCAAGGGGCTGCATCTGCTGAGGGACTTTATGCTGCATCATTCCATGGTGGAAGACAGAAAGCCAAGAGAGCAAGAGAGGGTGGAACTCACTTTTATAACCAATCCACTCTCAAGGTAACTAACCCACCCCCATGATAATGACATGAATCCACTCATGATGACAGAGGCCTCCTGACCTAATCACCTTTATTAGACCTACCTCCCAACACTACTGCATTGGAGATTAAGTTTCTAACTCATGAACTTTGGGGAACACATTCTAATCATAGCACCATCTGTTTGCCTGTGTTTGCTCTGTGAACTTGGAGGCAAGACCATCTGTAGAAAGTGAGGTTGGTAGGGGAGGCTGGAGGTTTGAGAAGAGTGGAGAAAGTCTGAAGTAGTTGTCGCTATAGTGGAAATGTGTGACAATCAGATCACTGTAGCAAGAGCCTGGCTGGAATTGAGGGCCCAGTTGAAGCAATAGGTTGAGAACATATAGATAATAATGTTCTGCTTGATTGTGCAATTTCTGCGCTAATACTCAGCAGTCTAAACAGAGATGATGGCTATCTGATTCATTATAGGACTGTGGATTTCCAAATGGATACAACCAAAAGACAAAGGGGCAAAAAAGAATGTTTGCAAAAACAGAGCTTGGCAGTAGGTATTATGAATAGCAAATAAATAGAAGCTGGGAAGAGATGAATGGAGAAGGGGAAGGTAGAGGGAGTGAAATGTGTAAAATAAGTGCCATGATGGTGGTTAGTTATGCAAGCTGCAAGGGGATGAGGGAAGTGGTTAGATTAACTCAGATTGGGGCAATGGGCGGGTTTGGGGATGTTTGTAAAAGTTTCTTTAAACATGATAACATCCTTAGACTAGAAAAGAAATGTCAGGTTTAGAAATGGAGAAGTTGTCTATGCTGTCATGAGATGTGGCCAGAAGTAAGTTCACTTCATATCAAACAGTCTGGTTTGAACCTTCATTTCACTACTTTAGCTGTGTGACAATGTCTGCTTCTGTAAAAGAAAAAAATCATCATAGGGCCTGTATCATGGGAATTTCATGATGATGAACTGAGACAGTCTTCAGAAAGCACTTAGCACAGTGCCTGGCACATACTAAGAATTCAATAAATGTTAATTATTGATGTTGCTGATGCTATTACAGGTTCAATAACCCTGATTCTGTAATGCTTGGTCCCAGAAGTGTTTCATATTGTGGATTTTTTTCAGATTTTGGAATATTTGCATTATGCTTACTGGTTGAGGATCCCAACCAAATTTTGGATTTCGTTGAGCATCCCAAATCCAAAAATCTGAATTCCGAAATGTTCCAATGAGCATTTCCTTTGAACATCATGTTAGTGCTCAAAAACTTTCAGATTTTGGAGCATTTGGGTTTTGGAGTTTTGGATTTGGGATGCTCAACCTATACTTGGAACCAAATCATTATCTCAAGTCCTTTTGTGTGTGTGTGAGATGGAGACTCACTCTAATCGCCCAGGCTGGAGTGCAGTGGCATGATCTCAGCTCACTGCAACCTCCACCTCCCAGGCTCAAGCCATCTTCCTATCTCAGCCTCCTGAGTAGCCAGGACTCCAGTTGCACACCTCTATGCTTAACTAATCAAGTCCTTTAATCTAACAACAATCTTGGGCCTCCAAAGTGACTCTTCTGTACATAGGCAGCTGATTCTGAGTAACTTTGATTTCTCTTGGAATATAAACCTGAATTCTATGGGAGTCACATTGACCTTGTAGTTAGTCACAAACATGGCCCTGAAGCCTTGTGACCAGCATTGGTGTAGTCTGTGAAATACTGGATTGTAAATTTTTTTTATAAACAAGATCACTAGTACAAAATTAAATTTAATATTTTAAATGTTTAAATATAATTTAATAGACTAACAAAAGGAGCTAGAAAAGATATTACTTATTCATATTGTTATCCAAGTGTTTACTGTTGCCTGTAAGGGAAGTACATTCACTCAACAGAGACTATTTAATTCAGCCATGTATAAGAAATTAAGGGCATCGAATAAGACTGAGCCTTTTCTAAATGTAAGGTTCTTTGAACTGGCTGCACCAATGCCATACCCTAAATTGAGCCATGGCAACCCCCATGACCCACACATATACCTCTGGATGGCCTCACAGAATTAGAAAATCTGAAGTAACTGGAAGACCATGGAAAGGGGAAGAATGATCAACCCCTGTGGAGCCTAATTAACTTGAGACATTCTTCTATTGTTCCTTATTCCCGCCCCAATTGATAAGGCAATTGGATTTTGTAACTGACCTTGGTCAACCTCATGATTCCAGACCCTACGACCCGCTCTCAGCTTGCAAAAACTGCCCTAAACTGTAATTTCTGTAACTTTCTACTGCCTACTCCAAACGTATGAAGCCAACTCCTAGCTCACCGCCCTCCACTAATTCTCCTTTCCAACAGCCTGCCCACACCCCAGTGAATAGACAGCCATGTTGCTCACACAAAGCCTGTTTGGGGTGGGGGAGTCTTTTCATTCAGAGCATGAGTTTTAACACTAAAAGCATTCCCAACCTGGATATGAAGAGAAATAGACATTAGATAAGATGTGAGAAATCTAATCAAAGAGAAGAAATATAAGTGATAAGGAAGAAGAGGGAAAAAAAGATTAATTCTGCCTGGGACAGTCAGAGAAACAAATCTTTGTCCTTAGATTATTTATTTTAAGCCTACTCAAATATCTCAATGGTTCCTTCCTGGCCAGGGCAGTGTGACATGAATGGAGAGGAAGGATCTGATCCAACAAATGCTCCTGGTTTAGAAACTAACAGGAATGTGGGAGTCATTGAAAAGGGAAGAACGTAGGATGTTTCAGAAGATTCTGCCTTGAATTAAGACAGATGGATAAGGGAGGGTGAGAAGTTTAAGAGCAAGTGAGGGAATTCTCCTGTTCAAGGGGCAGATGAAAGAAGTGCCTCTCGGCCAGGCATGGTGCCTCTGGGCCAGGTTGGCAATCCCAACACTTCGGGAGGCTGAGGGCAGGTGGATCACTTGAGGTCCAGAGTTCAAGACCAGCCTGGGCAACATAGTGAGATCCCATTTTTACAAAAGTAAAAAAATTAGCCAAGCACAGTGGTGTGCCCCTGTAGCCCCATTAGTTGGGAGGACCAGGTGAGCTGGGGAGGTTGAGGCTGCAGTGTGCTGCGATAGTGCCACTGTACTTCAGTTTGGGTGACAGAATGAGACCTGCCTCAAAGAAGAGAAAAGAAAGAAAAAGAGTTCATCTGCTAAAGCCAGTTATTAGTTTTTTAAATTTTATATTTTTTAATTAAAGACGGGGTTTCACCATGTTGGTCAGGCTGGTC